AACTCGGGTGCAGTTGTGACTGGGTAAGTTCTCTTTTATGTATATATATTTTCCCCCTCCTCTTGCATGTCCCATATAGGATTAGGATCCTACTCAGTGGCAAGCATTACCTGTCCAGTTATGCTTCCTATATCTCCAGTCCACACTTTATGGCCATGATGTATACCCATGGCCAACAACACACACTGTTGACATGGGATGTTCCACAAAATCACTAATAGGTTTTCTTCACAATATATTTTATTCATAAATATGCCTGTTTTGGACCTTACTAACCCATGTACTTACATAGGTCCAGAGGAAGGGGATAACTGCCCATCCCTACTGTCCATTCGATTGAATATATCAGGGGCAGTGTGCTTTTCAACATTGGGTTTTCATGGTCTCCCATTTGCACTGTCTCTGGTGTTGATATTCCCCTGGATTCTCCACCACATTTTATCCACCTTTCTAGTGGAGTATGAGAGTCCTTGCCACTTTCCAGTTCAGAGCTGCTGGGGTAGTGGACCATGGAGGATTCCTCCTGAATGTGATCACTTCCATTCAGTAGAGAGTTAGACAGTAGTGTTCTGAAGGTGTAGATGGCACTTGATCCACCAATCATGTGCTCCACGTCCATATAGTGGGTCCCAGAGGTTCATGTTGAACACTGCTTCTGTGCAGTTCTACTTGGAGGGCCAGATTACATACATTTTCTAGGGGCAATCCACTTTCGTATGGTGGGATCCAGAGGTTGGCGTTGTACTCCATCTTCTTTGTAGTAATATCCGGGGGATGATGTTGCACATATTTCAAAATAAATGTGGTCCACTTCTGTGCAGTGGGTCCTGGAGGTTCATGTTGTACCTAGGAATGCCTATAGAGAGAGAGGGTTAGCTTTAGTATTGTTGTTATGATTCCTGTTGTTGCATTAGTTCTTTTGGATCACTTGACTAAAAAATGCAAAGTTCAGTCTACTTGATAAAAAAGCATTATATTTCTTCTACCACAAGTTCTGCACTTGACCAAATGATAGGTTTAACTTCACAGATCTCTTTCTTAACTCTAGACAATTCCAAACATCATGCACTCATCACATCAGTTCTAAATTATGAAAGCTATTCTTATTTTCGAAAAATACTTGATAGCAAACAAATCAAAGTTATCCTGATATGTTTAGAAAAGTACATATAGTAGACAACTAAAATTACAGTTGTGTCATGAAAGTTATTCTGGTAGGAGTAAAACTACCTGGTTGTACACAATATATCAGTATTGTTTTTATTATTTTTTCCAAGTCATTGAATAGTGAGCAAGTGCCTGATGATTTGAAGTTTCAAGGGAGGTGATAAAAATTTTCCCAGTAATTATAGGTCTGTTAGTCTTACATCAGTGATGGGAAATGTTTTTGAAAGTCTGATAAAATATGCTTTGCAGAGTCATTAACTTTTGTTTTTATATCATTTAGATCATTTTTGCAACTCTCTAGATAATTCCAGACATCACGTAATCATTACATCACATGAAAACTCCCTCTGTTGAACAATACAAATGTCTAAGTTGAAATATGAAAGCTTAGTCTACAGTTGTATGTTTTGTCCATAAATTAAGGAATAGAAAGTCAGATGTTGTTAATGAGGATTTAGTTTGGTAATGTGAGTTAGGTTAATTCTTGTTGTAGAAACTTTTTCAGTTTTATGTCTGTATTTCTGGGTTTAGAGTATAGGGTTAAATTTAGGTAACTCTTCTAATGTCAACTGTGTAAATTTCTTTTTAGAATTTTGTTCATAATAAGTTTCACCTACTCATTTTCTGGATCCTGAATTGAAATTTAAATGTATGGAAATGTTTGTAATGTTATCTGAGTTTGTTTTATCTTAAATAGTTTTTCAGTATAGGGTTTATCTACACATTGTTAAAATAAAATGAATTTAGTAAAAAAAGAAACCTAAAGATTTGACTTGTATTGATAGATTTTTACTAATACTAGGTATTTTATGTATACAAATCTTCACTCTGTTAGATACTTTTCAAGAAGCATTTAAGCAAGAAGCAGTGGCTATCTCTGATTCTGCTGACATGTGGATGCATCATTAAACAGCTGAAGGTTTCTCACCCAGAAACACCAGTTATTGAGAGTTCTGATGCACAAATGCCATCTTTCTTGAAGCTGCACTTGAGCTATAACCTGGTGTTAATTCTTGTCCAAGTAAGTTCCTTCAGCATACACTAGGATTTTTATAACAAGTGATAAGAATTATTCTGAAAAAAATATTTAGAGAAATGTACACTTCTTTTAAAAATAGTAAAAAACACAAAAACAAACTTTTTTTGGCACAATGAAAGGTAAAATATTTATTACTTTCAGTTGACTAGTTTCAGTAACACAGTTACCATCATCAGTGTTAACTTAGAATATATTCAGCTATAAACTGTTAATGGGCGAGTTCATTTTCGAAAAAAAGGTCAGAAAAGGGTTGTAGGTGAATATATTCTAAGCTAACACTGTAGATATTAGCCATGATGATGGTAATTGTGTTACCGAAACTAGTTGGCTGTAAGTAATAATAGATATTTTACCTTTCATTGTGACAAAAATGTCAGTTTTTGTGTTTTTTGCTCTTAATATAGTAGCACAATGTGCCTGAAAAGAAACTAAAAATTATAATGTACTCTTTGGAAAGTTAATAAGAAGGGAAGTTTGTAATGACATAGATTTATTTTCATTTTTAAACAATTATATAAGTGCTTGATAAAAATCTTTTAAAAAGTTTGAAGATCAGTTCTAAATTATGAAAGCTATTTTGATTTGTGAAGAATACTTGATAGCAAACAAATTAAAGCTATTATGATATGGTTAGAAAAGTACATGGTACTAGACAACTAAAATCACAGTAGTGTCATGAAAGTTATTCTGGCAAGAGAAAAGCTACATATTTTTTGTAGGCAAAATATCAGTATTGTTGCTGTTATTTTTTCCAAGTCCTTGAACAGTGGGCCTGTGCCAGAAGTTTGGAAGTTGGCTAAAGTTACTTCTCCTTTCAATGAAGGTGATAAAATTGTACCAGTAATCAATGGTGGAGAAAGTTTATAAGTCTGATAAAAGATTTTTTGCAAGGTCATTTAATAAAGTTTAAAATGTTGTTAGTTAGTTGGGGGAAAATTTAGTTTTACTAATCTTCTGACATTCTTTGAAGAGTTTTGGGTGTGGAATTGGTGTATCTGAATTTTCATTTGGCAAGGTGCCACATAAAAGGCTTATTATAAAAGTTACCTCTGTAGATGTGGAGGATAGGTTGGCTCATTGGATAGAAAACTGGCTAGATGGAAGAAAGCAGAGGGTTGTTATAAGTGGAGTTCAGTTAACAAATTCACTGCGGCTGAGATGTATATTTCTCAGTACAATGGGAAATATATATCCCAGCTGCAGTGAAAGGATTAAACCTGATAAATGTCATGAGTGGGATATCTCAGGGATCATTATCCAGACCTTTGCTGTTTTTGATTTACATCAATATCATATATTAACAAATGGTCAATAGACTATTTAATTTCAAGATGAAAATGTGTCTCTTCACACAGAATAGCTTGATTCCTGTGTGCATCTGCCTATGAGATTTACATTCCACTAGCCTTGAGCTACCTCCCACCTAAAAAACGTGTTTAATGTGAACTACACTAATGCATGATGTTATTATCATGCAATGATAAATACCCTTCACCAATAGGAGGATGACACAACCTCCTTGCACAGTAGCTCTCCCTAAGCACTTGCACTTATCTCATTCTTTTCTTTGGCATTGTTTATAATAGATGTTACAAAACTGTCAATTATTTGGGATTTACGATACTTTCTGACAGAGTTAATTTTTGTTCAAGATTACCTGGTTTAATGTTTGTGTTCCACATAACCAGCATAGTTTCTTTAATTTCACTTAGAAAAAAAGTTTGCTGATTTCCTGCCCTTATGAAATCTCAACTAATGGCTGGCACCTTCCACTTTGTCCCATGATAATGATAATATTACTAACACACGATCTGTGACAACTGAAGGCTTGTTTTCTGTGGAGGACATGACAACCATTGTTCAATGTGTCGTGGGTTCCTTCATGCACTCTGGGCCTCGTCCAATTGGCTGACGTTCTTTCTCTCCACTTTGAACATTGAACTCTCAATCTCACCCTTCTGTTCCTGCTTTTAAGCATGCTGTATTCATGTCCTCTTCCCATTCCAGCTTCTCAGCCTTCTTCTTTTTCATGCCTTACGACTTCCTAATGTCAGAATCATCTCGTTGGTGACTACCCTGTCAGGTGTGGCCCTGTGGGAGCCTGTCTGACTTTCTTCAGCAACCTATGGACTCTATTTTTGGCTAACAGATGGTTTCTTTATGTTCTCACCCATTGACTCTCTCTCCACTTCTCTTATCCATTTCCAGTTTCTTTTCTTCCTCTCTCCGATCCCACTTCAGCATCTCAAGGATGTAATCTCAGATCTTTTGGCGATGAATGTCATTGAGAAAGTACTTACCCCTACTATGGGTTTTTAATCTTCTCTTTTTTTTGTGGTCCCCAGGAAGACCTGGGACTGGCATCTGGTTATCAACATGTCGTCTCTCAACCAGTTTCTTGTCATTACTCAGTTCTTTATGAAAGGATCAAGTCTTCCAGTTCTGTGCTCTTCCTTTTGATGTTGCTTCTGCTCCTTTTGTCCTCAATCAAGTCCTAGAGGCATACACTCACCATATTCACAGATTGGGGCTGAGGTTCCATCTTTACATGGATGATTGGCTTCTTCTTTCCCCTTCTTGGGAGGGCTCCTTCTCTCACACCTGCATTATTCTGCAAGTGGCTGCTCAGCTGGTCTCGTTTGTCAAGCCTTTCAAGTCTTTTGTCACACCTACCAAGTATTTGGTACATCTGGGTGTGTTATTCAACTCCCGCCTTATTTGGGTTCAGCATTCACCACTTCTCCTATGAGCAATGGAATGTCTCATCAACAAGATTTACTATTCTTATTTACACTCTCTCTCTTGTCTTCTCCCTTGTTTTGATATGTGAAACTCCTTGTTGAGTCCTGTTGGTGGCACCTATTTGGCCTGCACAACCCTGGTTTCCTCTGCTTCATCAGTTGGTGTCTGGCTCTCTCTTTCTCTACCCTGTTCCTGCTCTCTCTTGTTCCAACCACACACATCTCTCATTCACACAGGAGTTTTGTCCTTTCATCTTCACATGTGAAATTTGTCTCTTCCATTGTTCTTAGAGCTAGCTTCTCTGATCATGTAGCCTTTTCTTTATTCCATTACACGAATGGAGGTGGTGGTTTTTATGTTGGTTCATTTGCCATTCCCTTCCTCTGAGCTGACCTATTATGGTCCACCTTTCAGCCTTTTTCATGTGCTTCTTTGACCATGGATTGCAGGTTATCAGGTGGCTTTTTCAACTACATTTTGCCTCTCACATGTTTATTATTCCCCTTAACCTTTCCAATTTGCTCAGATCCTTCCTTCTTCACTGACCCTTCTTGTCCTACTTCTATGCCTGACTAGAACCATAACTTGATTTTACTAAAAATGGTTGTATAGAAAGCATCAGTAGTGTTGTGGAACCCATTCTGGTGTGAGTAAGTATACTTTGTTGTAGATAACTAATGCAATAAAATAAAATCACTGTAAAACACAATGCTTAAGTAGATAAAAATGTATCTAGTGATGTTTCAAGCAACTATTCTTTGTAAGACTTAATATGCAGTTGTTTGAAACATCACTAGATAAAATAAATTTGTTTCTATTTCAACATTGTGTATTTCAAGTGATTTTATTTTATCCCCTAACATAGTGCAGATTCCAATTTTTCTATAGATAACTAAAACATCAGCTGTGGTTGAAGTTATTCTTGTATGAATAATAACTACTTGACTGTACACAAAAACATCAGTAGTATTATGGAAGTTATTCTGATAGAAGTTAAAACTACTTTGTTGTTGATAACTAAAACATCAGCTGTGGTTGAAGTTATTCTTGTATGAATAATAACTACTTGACTGTACACAAAAACATCAGTAGTATTATGGAAGTTATTCTGATAGAAGTTAAAACTACTTTGTTGTTGATAACTAAAACTTCAGCTGTGGTTGAAGTTATTCTTGTATGAATAATAACTACTTGACCGTACACAAAAACATCAGTAGTATTATGGAAGTTGTTCTGATAGAAGTTAAAACTACTTTGTTGTTGATAACTAAAACATCATTTTTGTCATGGAAGTTATTCTAGTATGAGTAAAAACTTTATGGTTGTAGACAAAACATAAGTAGTTGTTAAACTGTTGATCAGACAAAAATTAAACTGGCTGGCAGTTCCTACCACCAGCTTTCTTTTTTGTTTTTGCTGTTAAACTGCTGACTAGAGGGAAGGCATCTGGCTGGCTGGCTGCACTCACCACAGACTTTTTTTTTTTTCAAGTATTATGGTTTGAGGAACACTGTACTAATTGAAAATGGGACTATCCATTAATCGATTAGCAAATAACACTAATCGCCTAGCTCTTTTCAAAAGTCTGTTAAGTATTAAGTAACAGATTTAAATGTACTTGATTAAGAATTTATAGTATTAATTCTGAAGTCTGAAACAGTTGCTTGATTGTTTTTTATAATGTGTTAATCCTGGAACTTAGCAACTGATTACTTATTGTAACACTTAATAAATTTATAAAGCATATTCTCATTTGCTATCAAGCTAAGTTCTCCCAGCTCACCTTAATGCAATTGTTCCTTGTCTGTTTGCAGGTTTTTTGTTCCTGTTTTGCTGGTGTATATAATGAATACCTACTTAAAGACACTGGAGCCCATGTTCATTTAATGATACAAAACATCTTCATGTACTTTGACTCTATTCTCTGTAACTTTCTAGTTCTTGTCTTCAAAGGAGAAGTAATGAATGTCTTCAATGTGGATATGGTCAGTTCAATTCTTCAACCTCTTGTCATACTTGTCATTTTTAATGGAACTGGTTGTGGTATCATTACCTCAGTGTTTCTTAAAAATTTGAACTCCATACTTAAAAATTTTGCCAGTGCCTTGGAGCTGGCTTTCACAGCTGTTTTGTGTTGGGTTATATTTGGTATCGCTATTGACATTTTCACCATACTTTCTATTGCCATTGTTTCTTATGCCACATTTATGTATTCCCAGAACCCTGTTGTAAACACAGTTAGAGCTGACACAAAGGATGAGAATCAAGAAAATTGTGTATGATACCAGTTTATAATTTTAGATCTTAAGTCTTGACAACAGGCTGTTATTATCTTTAAGATTTACATTGTTGATATATAATAAGTTCATAAATTGTTTTATGATTTGTGATGTATGAGTAAAAATTTAAAAATCGTAAACATGTGTGCCAAAATCCTAGGGCATATTTTCCCATGTCCAAAGTTGGTGGGAATTTTGACTACTCATTGCAACGTAAAATTAGTCTGATAATTCTTATTACCTAATCTAACACATGCACAGCAGTTGGATAGTTGCAAAAACTCATATATTCTGTATTCTATACTCTTCACAAACTTAGACCTATGGTGGAAAGATGCTTGTGCCTAAAAAAAATAAAGAAGGATAAACGAAATGTGCTAAAATTTGTAAGGATACTCTTTGTTTCATAAATGTGTATTTGTGACTGGAAACACTGGGCATTAGTATTGGCACAACAAAAGTAATTTTTTTTTCATGGAACTATATCAGTGGTTGAGTTATTTATCTAATTGTCTTCTTTGTGATTTTTCATTCTTAAAAGTGATTTTACTTAGTTCAAGCAAACTTATTTTTAACTGTTGTGACTTTCATGCAAAAATTATAATTTATACAACTCACTTGTGGTTAAACTAGGGCCTGAAATGGCCTGGTGGTTAGAGCGCTTGACTTTCAATGTGAGGGTCGTGAGTTCAAATCTCTGTCACTGAACATGCTTGTCCTGTATGGTTGCCAGCTAAATGGGTGTAAAAATTATTGGCTTACAAAATTACCACCCAGCCCCAAACTATTTAAGATTATGATGACTCGTGGTTGAGCTAGAAATGTATGTTTCCCACATATAACACAAGGATATAAAACTGTATGGAATTTGCTACATTGCTAGTTCAACACCTAAGTAGCAAACATCTGTACTGTGATAACTTTTATTCATGTACAAAACCAAACTTATCTATTACCTCAACATTTACATACTGATAAGTGACCTAAAACGTCTTTCTTCTTCCCAACTACATAAGAAGTTAGTTGCCTTGTACAACCCTAGTATGTTACTATTCTCTAATTGTCAAATATGTAAAAACAAAATGTTGAGCTGTTGTCCTTTGTGTTCTACAGGGAGGGATAGATAATGGTAAGTGTTTAAAGTACTGATGGCATAAGGTAACTGATTATGCCATACTTTGTCCAATGCTTTGTTTTGAGGTTGCTTTTGAACATGGTTTATTTTTGTACAAGCTTGAAGGTGCAAATAGCTGTTCTTAAAGATTGTTTTGTTTATTTGATGTTTGCAAAACACAAATTGTGTTTATTGATATGCTTGCAGTATAATAATAAATTATTGTAATCATATGTGTTTGATACTTTTTGGTAAAATTGATGAGACTAGTTTTCTATATGTGATCATTTTTCAAAAAATAATTTTGGAAGAATTTTCATTATGAATTACAAGAAACTAACTTAAAAAGTCTTAGGTATAAAGTCTGAAATGTTGACATCTCCAAAACTCAAAGCAGGAGAAGTCCATAGTAAATTTAAATTTCTAGACATTTTAGTGTGTCTAAATGGTTAACAATATAATTTGTCTTTAGTCTTCATCTTAGATTTTTTTTCATTGTTCATCTCTAATTTTTTTTTAGATATTTTTATGGTGTTTTCCTTGTTTATTTTAAGAAGTTATATATTAACTTATCTTTTACTTGGTTATTTGTTAAATACCAAATAAAATTAATCTTGCTATTGAAGAGAAAGTTACCTAGAGGTTTGTTCATGTTAAGTACACTTCCTTTAAATCAAAACCTTTTACTAAGTTTCAAGCCATGTTGTCATTTTTACTATAATTTGTGTAAGTTTTGCATCTCCCTCTATCCAGGTATTATAAAATAACAGTATAAACTATAGTATTTAAAACTTAAATTTTTTATAATGCATGATTCAGAAGTTCTACTTTGGCAAACTGCTTAGAGTTATATTACAATGAAGTATTATTGTGATTTTTAGACTGCATATAAAAATTATGGACCATCAGAAATGTTTACAATCTAGTCTTCAAGCTTTAGGAACTGATGAATGAGAATTACAATTATGATTAATTTATTACAGTTTTAGTTAAATTTAATTTCACTTAAGTGTATTTGCTTCTGAAAATGTGTTGAAATATAAAAAATGATTATTTTCTTGTTTTGTTTGTTATACAAATTTGTATCATTGATATATGTATTGTACATGGTAATGACAATTATAATCACCAGATGGCAAACCATGTAATGAATCATAAATTTATGTTAAGATGACTTACAATTTTTTAGTTTTTGTGGTCATAAATATTTATATATAATTGTTTTATTACCTAATGAGTGCTTTCAATGTTGATGATAGTTTTGATTTTGAGCATCTGTACATTATGTATGGCAAGTGTAAGGTGGATAATGGTTTTTTAAATAATATTATTTAAACTTCTTACGTGCACAAATATGGTAATATTGCTGAAGTTAAAATTGATCTTTGAAAACCAAGAAACACACACATGTACAATTGATGATTGTGTACAATAGAGAGTTTGTAATAAAGCAGTAACACTTTATTTGGAGATTTGAATTGTAGCACTTTAAGCAAAAAAAAAACTAAAATATTTCCCAGTTCTTATCACGGATAATATATATATATATATATTTTGTTAATTTCTGTAAAGTCCTCACACCTTCTAAGCATGCATGCACAGTCACTATTGATGCTACCAACCTCAATGATTACCCAGTTTCTATAGTTCATGTAAACACGTAAGGTATTAACCCAATATTCCTAAAGATACTTTGGAACTCAAAGCATGCAGCTTTTGTGGGTAATATTGTTATTGAGATACGTGATCTTCACAGAAGTCAACTTACTTGAATGATCTATTAATTCTTAATATTTGACCCCACCTTCTGAAAGTGGAAGAGTAGTTTTAATTGTATGTAACTGAATTATTTTGTATCTCCCATGCATTAGATTTTTAAAAAAAAGCAAAAGACATCAGCATGAATTACATTTCTTTATATATAATTGTAATTTTATGACAAAAAACTTTAAAAACATAAATCACAGCCACAATACAAACATCCAACACTGAGGCACAAATCATAAGGTGCATCTTTATGTAATGTGCCCTGGTTTTTTGAGGTACTAGCAGGAAGTAAAACTCAAATTGCATTGGGAGTACACCATCTATCCAGTTTAACCTCAACTTTGTTAGCCCCATATGCTTAAGAAAAAAAAGGAGCAGATGTGGGTGTTCCAGCCCACAACATTGAAAATCTTTATCACTTTTTGCTGTAGTATAATGTTTGGACATAAATTCCAAGATGTTAAGGTATTACTATACTAAGCCCAACCAAAATTATTTGTGTATATCACATCTTCCACCCTTTCCATGCTACTGTCAGGATCTAATGGTTCAGAACCGTCCACACAGTAACAGTTCCTATGTAGGGAAGGTGATACAACTACACTAATCTACCTATATAAGATATGAAATGTCTGATAAATAATTCCAATTATTTTCTTAACAATAATTTTATAATTTTTTTTTCACTATGCATATTATTATTTTGTTTAAATCATTATTTTCAAATTTATATAATTACTTTTTATATTTATTGTAATTTATAATATCAAATTAAGGTTATCTCATCAAACCCATTAGAAATCAGTTTTTGTGTTCTTACATATTAGATATTAAGAACTGTACATTAATAGAAATTCTACAATACCTAATAAGCTGTAAATGTATGATATTTTGTATGGCACCTCCCAGTAGCAGTATGTCTGCATATTTGCAATGCTAGAAACTGGGTAGCTTTGTGCCTAACTTCAAACAAACTTAAACTGTATGGCATTTGTTGGTACATTATTGTTTGGAGAGGGAAGTCCAAAAATGTGAAATCATTTTTTTAACATAAATATTAATGTCATTATAATTATTAATTATCTTAAATGATGTAGTTCAGTATATGATATAGAAGTGTTCTTAACTTGTAGAACTGTAGGATAAATGTTACCAATATAATTACTTGTTCCTGGATTATTAATACTAATCAAATTGTCAGTATATCTATATGTTAAGGAAAGTAATTCCGTATTTGGAAAATTATTTATAAATTTATTTTCATAATAATAAAGATATAAATTAGCAATATAGCTTGAATAATTAGAACCTATCTGTATACATATTATTTTTTTTATAAATGAACTTATCAAAATAAATATAATTATTATACACGCAAAAAAGTTAATATGCCTTTGATTTTATTTGCAATAAAAGTTTGTTTTTCTATTTCTGTGGGTAGATCTAGAAATTGATCCATTAACGAATTTACCACTATTACCAAATCATTAAGTGGTATAAATGTAAACAGCATAGTGAAATTGTATATTTGGACTGTGTCTGCTAATTGAGTTTTATTCAAGTTTTCTAAAGTTTTTAAGACAGGTTATGTTTATTATTTGCATTTTATTGTGATACGGTAGTTCTGAATATGGATTTTTTTATAGCTTTCAACAAGTTGTTAATAATATCTTCTTTAGACTTATCTTGTAATTTAAAAGTTTGTGTAATCTGTTTATTTCTATGTTAACGATATCAAAAACTGTAATTACTATTGAACGCAAGGGGATGAATTCTGATATGTTCTAATTCAACTTTATTTACCACATTATTTTTAATTTGAAATCTATACAGATTCATGCGAATATGTAGAGGATTAGAAGTTTGTCCCACATATTGCATAATACATGTTAATAAAAATTATATTTTTACTTTACAAAAGGAATAGTTATAATAATCGGATGAAAAGAACTAAACGAAGGACACGTAAGTCATCGCTTACTACAACATTTGTAGTCAGAATTAAAAAAAAACTATAAACAGCTAGCTAGGCTAAATATAGTTGACACATGATGGATAGATTGTGTCCATAAATTAAATAAAAAATACAATGAAATGGGCAGGTGTGTAAATTAATATAGCAACACACAACATTCATTAATATTAATTATTTAGGAAAGCTAAAAAAAGAATACATCAAGAGGAAGGACAGCACGATATTTATGCAGCATATCCAAATCTTGTATGAAAAATAGTTAAATGTAATTTTATGGGAAAAAAACATGAAAAATAAATAAATCAGTCTCATTACAAACATCCAACACTGGGAGACAAATCATAAGGTGGGTCATTATGTAATGTACCCTGGTTTTTTGAGATACTAGTAGAAGTTAGACCCAAATTGAGTTGAGAGTACACCGTCTATCCAATTTAACCTCAACTTCGCCACCCTCACATGCTTAAGAAAAATAGAAAGAAGTAGATGTGGGTGCTCTAGCCCATAATGTCCAACATCTTAACAACCTTTCACTAGCTGTGGGAAGGTGATTGCTTATAAAAATAAAATAATAATAATAATAAACACAAAAAGAAATAATGGAATACAAGAAATCAATGAAGGAGACAGCAAAACTGTTCTTGAAGTTAGCATTCCAACCCTCAATATGATGTTTGGACATAAATATAAAAAGTATATATGTATATTTGAAAATAGTCATTTAAACAAAAGTAAAAATAATTTGTAAAAATTATTGTTAAGGAAATAATAGGAATTACTTATTAGACATTTCATATCTAATACAGGTAGATTAATGTAGTTGTATCACCTTCCCTATATAAGACCTGCTGCTATGTTGATCTCTTTGGAACTATTGAAGATCCAGATAAGAACATGGAAAGGGTGGAGGATGGGAGCTATACTAATAATTTAGGTTAAGTTTGGTATAGTAATACGTTAACATCTTGGTATTTATGTCGAAACATTATACTGGGGGGTGGAATGCTCACTTCAAGGATAGTTTTGCTGTCTCCCCAATTGATGTCTTACATTTTATTATTTCTTTCTGTTTTTTGTTTTTTTTAATGAGCAACCACCTTACCACATTTGGCTGCAGACAACAAAAGGTGGTAAAGATGTGGGCTAGAGCAGTACTTCTAAAACTTTTCCAATATCATTCACCCTTATAAGTTTTTCACAACAGCTCACTCACCCCAGTTCAAAAAGAAAAGATATAAAAAAAGTACTAAATTAAAATGCAAAATTCTTTAATATCACTTTTTTGCTCTTGAATTTGTTTTTTAATTGATAACACTCATTCACCCAGTTGAGAAACACTGGGCTAGGGCATCCACATTTGTTCCTTTTTTTTTCTTCTTAAGCACGTGAGGCTGGCAAAGTTGATGTAAACAGGATAGATGGTGTACCCGCAATGCAATTTGAGTTTTACTTCCTTCCAGTACCTCAAAAAACCAGGGCACATTACATAATGACCCACCTTATGCTTTGAGCCCAGGTGTTGGATGTTTGTATTGTGGTTGTGATTTCTTACTATTTTTCCATAAAATACATTTAATTTATATTTCATCTAAGGTTTAGATATGCTGGCCTTCCTTTTGATTGTTTTTTTTTAGCTTTCCTAAATAATATATATATATTCCGTTGAGCAAAACAAAAAAACTACGTTAAACTCTCATACACATGTTGCAAAATCGGCAGCTTTGAATTATAGTGAAGCTAAAAAAATAATAATTTGATTAACAGTTTTAGAAACTGCGATTCAAAAACAAATCTCCAGCAGTCATATATCAGTGGTTGATATAATTATAAAATAATTGTATTTCTCTTCACTTCTACCTTGTGAAAGAACATGAAATATACTATATTATAGTTGTAAGCCTGTTGGAATTGGTAGCTAATGGAAGCAGCGGGTCGTAAATAATGACATAAAGTAGGCTGCCTAGAAAGTTCTGAGATTTGATTTCAAGTCTACTTTTTTTCTAGCACATTTGAATGTAGATTGTAAATACGAGGTGGTTGTGAAGTGTGTAAAGTGATTTCAAGATAGAAAGTGAACCAGTCAGTGTGTTAGCTATCGTGGTTACTTTGTCTACTGCTTTCTTTTACGTTATTTAATGTCATTTGTAACGTAGGTCTACTGGAAGTTACAAAGTATGTAAGTGTTCAATTTGAAACTCAAACGAGGAAATAAACTAATCTGTGATTATTGTATAGACTGGACATTGAATAATTTTCACCAGGTAATATAAAACCCACCAATGAAAGAAAACATCACAACATTTGTGTCAGAAGTGGGGTTACTTAATGAAAGTAAAATAGAAGTAAAGTATAACTTTCATTAAACTTGCACTGTTGAAAATAGTGACCACAAGATCAAGTACTGACAATGAAGTGTTACTTGAGATGATGAAATTATTAATAAAAGGCTTAGGGGAATTAATTGTGGCAGCTTACCATGTTACCGTTTGAATTCTGTAACACTCTCCCTATATTCCAACTATTAATGGTGTGTGCTCTGACTGAACTATTATTGAATGGTTGGGTTTTCTGGGACTCATAATCAGTAGAGAAGGAGTGCCTACAGATCCATCGAAGATTGGCTCTGTACAGATTTGTTCAACACCAAAAAACCCAAGTGAAATGAGAGAATTCCTTGGACTACGGTCTTACTATCATTGTTTTGTAAAGTCTTTCCAAGACA